CAGCAATGAGCCTGCACGTGGCTGCACTGGCTTGGCCCAACTTGTTGCCAGTAGCAGCTGCATGCACACCTTGGGGAGTACAGTGGAGAAGCAACCAGGGCTGCGCTGCCCCTAGCCCCTTCCTCGACCATGCACCCCAAGGCTCACGTGCAGCTACCACCAGCCATGGAGCCAGGCCAGGGCTTCAGACCCTGACACAGTTGTTTGCAGCTTGCCCACCGCCCTGCAAGCAGTCTGGACTCTGTGGTGGCAACAGCTGTACCCACACCGCCGGGGCACACAGCAGGGGAGGGGCTGGGGTTGCACTGCCCCAGGCTCCTTTCCCACCATGCCCCATAAGACATGTACGCAGCCACCACTAGGCACAGAGCTGGGCCAGGGCACCAGATCCAGCCCGGGCTCTTATTAAGGCTTATTAAATGAGGTTGTTCATCTTGCAATGCCAGTGGCAGAGCTGAAGCGTCTGAGTGGTATAGGTTTTTCCCCTGCGGTATTCTCTATTTGCTGCACCAGAGTGCAGGATCTTATTATACTGGGTCGCAATGTACATAAAAAGAAGACTTCGCTGTGCCTTGAAGAGCTTCCCATCAGAGTCAAGAGCCTCTGAAAAGGGTGGGTAAAAAGATGCACAGCATTATTCCCCTATTCAAGAATAAAGAAGAAGTCTGCAGCAGAGCTGGGAGTGAAACACCATTTCCGACATGCTAGCGTCTTAAACACAGGATTGTCCTTCCTGTCTTAATCGCTTGCCAACTAAAAAAAAAGAAAAAGGATGCCGGAAAAGGCAGCAGTGGAGCATGATGCCAGATGGATACATGGATTCAACCACAATTTCCTTTAGTATTTGACTGTCTAATTAATCTAACAGGAAGCTTGCAAACGTACCGATATTCCTTTGGTAACTAGACCTGCCTTGATAGTTTAACATTGTTCTGTAGTGGAAACGTGTATTTTTGTAACTGCACGGTAAGATCCCTAGTTGAAAGATGGTCCTTGGAAAAGAAGAAGAGAGCAGTGTTACGTTCACCTAATCATGTACCACATTACCTCTTAAGGCGCTATCACCTCAGTAGCTATGCAATTCAGATGCATAGTGCTTTCGCTCGGAGAGACTAGGGCGTTCTTGCTGTGAAACCTCATTAAGTAAAAACAGCAAAGGGCCCTTCTGCAGTTTAAGAACATCTCAGTGGCTCGCAGCATCAGGAAAATGCACAAGGTGCCAACGTCCCGGAAACATCGCTTGGTAGGAAAGTGCTACTTCCATGGACTTGGCTGGCTCTGCACGTGAATCACTTGCTAACTATTATTTTGAAATCGGAAAAGGGGCAAAGTCAAGGCGTGATTCCTTGAGCAGCAGCTTTGGTTTTTGCTGTGATTGAGCACTGAGGGACTGATAAAGGGCTCCGGATCACACGATGGCGTCCCACGCACCAAAGCTTTGGTGACTCGGCTGTTTGAATGCTCAAGTGTATGTTTAGCAGCGCGGTCTCAGGAGCCGAGCTGCATGAGGCCATAGATGTAGGTTCTGTTTGTGGTTCCAGCCTGGCCCGCTTGGTGACTTTGGGCGAGTCGTTTCCCTTCTCTGTCTCCTGTTTTGCCCCCCTCTCTCAAATGGGCTTAACGGTGACATGTGGAACTCTTTGACGCCACTGGTTAAAGATGCCTTGCTCAGGCCCAATATTGCTATTCGTCATAGCTGGTGGGATTAAAGGTGGGCTTAACGGTGACATGTGGAACTCTTTGACGCCACTGGTTAAAGATGCCTTGCTCAGGCCCAATATTGCTATTCGTCATAGCTGGTGGGATTAAAGGTGCAAGCCTACCAAGGTGTTCTTGCTGCAGGCTTTCTAGGTGAACTCAGGAATGGGTGTCAGGAAATCTTGCAGGCATGCCTGCTCTAATGGGGTCTCTAACCTAAGCAAGGAGCCTCAGGGATTCAAACTGTGCTCCGTACACTATAGCACTCTCCTCTCCTCTGTTCCTAGTCACTAATTAGAGCTGCTGCAGACAATGCTGCTAAAAGTGCCACTGTTTGATACCTCTAGATCAGCGGTTTGCAACCTCTTTACACTCAAAAGACTGCTAGGTAGACTCAAAGCCCCCCTTGGACAATGCCAGCTCTTAGTTTTCCCTCTTTTTTTTTTTTTTTTTTTGACTGCAGAGCCGTTTCCCTATTGCAGAGAACTCGGAAGGACCACGGGGATAGATTGCTGTTTGAAATCTCTGCCTTTATCTGGTGAATTTGGTTGGCAAACGTAATGGTGTGAACACTGGGCAGAATCCCCCAGGCCCCTTGGAAGAAATTGCAAGGCACCTCAGGGTGCATCGATGGTGATCGCGGGAACGGCTCGGCCAGGCCTCTACCCAAAATCTTGGTGACCAAATTAAAATGACAGCGCATCTTGCCCAAAAATGCAAAGTGACAGCTGGTACCATACGAAATAGAATGACCTCAGTTGGCTTTATTCTCTGTGCTCGATCATGTCAAATCCAGGAAATTGTGAACAGAGACCTAACGCGCTCATCACACGTGTGTGTATCTAAGAAAGCGGGTGCAGGCAAGGAAACCACATATTCATTTCAATGGATTCAGCAGCTACACGAGACAAAAGGCTAAAGATGCATCTCATGGGAAACCTCTGAAAGGTGCAGGGTGGATGCCCTGTACGTGACAAATGCGCCCTGCTCACATTTCTCTAAATGGGCCTCCAGTGTCACAGGTGTTACAAATGTCTCAACCGTTCAACGTATGTCTGGAGTTTGGTAAACAGAGCATCGCTGGCCCATGCTACTGCCAATTTGCCCTGCTGATAAGCAAGTACCCAAAGATAGGTCTGGTAACATCTCTAAACATCCTGTTTGGCCCCTTGAGACTCATCGCCTGCTAACTAACCTGTAATTGCAAAGGCTACAGAGGCACACAAGTCTTCACCCCTAGACAAATCCAAAACCGGAGCCAGGCAAAGCGACGGTCCCCCTTTCCCTCCCTGTTTGTCTGGACTCTAATCAGCCAGCTACCAAGGAAAACATACTTTGAAGTTATACACTCAAATGGTTGAAGAACTAAGCAAATTTGCCAGCAAGGTGCACAGTCCCGGAAAAGCAGAGAGAGGTCGCTGCTATGTCGCACCCGGCTTGACCAGCAACGGGTCCTGCTTGGTGAAAGCTGCGCAGCTGGACTGGCTCCCTTGGCCTGCATTGGTGAGAGGACACTCTTGCTGCTAACTATGTACTGGGGCTTTGCGGAGTAGCTCGTTTTATTTTGGAAAGGAGCCTTTTTTCTGTCATTTAGGGGTACAGCTGGCTTGTGGTATTGTCATTAAAGCCTTTCAGCTATTGATGACCCGGGTGTCGTATCAGTTCTTGGGGCACTCGGTTGGAAAACCCGCTTTCTAAGGGCAACAGGTGCTGTGACCCCTGGTTGAGAATCGCAGCTCTGGGAGCTGGAAATACATGCCATCAACCGTAAGGGACATTTGACGTGCGAGTGGGATATTTGCTGCTCCCGAAGGGCTTGGGCCAACAAGTGTCTGTCGGCATCGCTGGGAATAGCAGAGCTGTCTCCCAGCAGATGTCTGGGTAGTTTAGGTCCCCCATGACTACCGCCTCCTTAGCTTTTATGGTCTCCGAGAGCTGCCTCAGGAGCTCTGAATCTAGTTCTTCCCCTTGGTGTGGGGGTCTGTAGCAGACCCCTACCACCAAATCCCTTTCTCCTTGCCCCCCATGTAACCTAACGCACAATCCTTCTACTTCCTCATCCTTCGATTCTGTCTTGATGAGGGTCGATGTGTATTGCTCATTGACATAGAGCACAACCCCTCCCCCTTTCTTCCCCACCCTGTCCTTTCTGTACAGCCTATAACCCTCAATATGTACCGCCCAGTGAATCCCACCAGGTTTCTGTTAGCCCTACTAAGTCGTAGGTGTTTTCTGCAAGCAGGAGTGCTAGTTCATCCTGCTTGTTCCCCATGCTCCTAGCATTAGTATATAGGCACTTGAGCCCTGTGACTGGTGCCTTTGCTGCCCCAGAGCTCCAAATCCCAAGGGGCCCCTTATTTCTTACCTGCTTATTGCTTACCTGTGCTGTAGTGCTGGCCTCCCCATGGCTTGCAGGTTCCCAATGTTCTCCTTCTTCACGCTGGGCTGTCCTTGTGGGTGCCACATGGTTTGGTGGTCCACAGATTCCCCCACCTTCATCTTCCCCTCCCCCCGATGAGCCTAGTTTAAAGCCCGCCCGAGGAGATCCGCCAATCTAGAAGAGAACACATGCTTACCTTTGGGGGACAGGTGAAGGAGGAGGTTGGATAGATTCCTGGCTGGGGTATTATGATCCCAGCACTCCTTCCTGCCCAGGGCAGGGGGACAGACTTGATGATCTATTCAGGTCCCTCCTGACCCTAGAAACTATGAAATTTTGCAGAAAGGTCCCTCCCTACCCTAGAAACTCACAGTAGGCTTACTACACCCTAAGTAACAAATTAAGGCTTGTGCTCCTCTTGGGAACAGTCTGGTACAGGGCTGCTCCTGCCCCACCCTCCTGACCCTAGAAACTATGAAATTTTGCAGAAAGGTCCCTCCCTACCCTAGAAACTCACAGTAGGCTTACTACACCCTAAGTAACAAATTAAGGCTTGTGCTCCTCTTGGGAACAGTCTGGTACAGGGCTGCTCCTGCCCCACTCTGCCCCTCTGCAGCAACCAAGGGGAGCTTCCGGTTTCCCCTGGTGCAAGCCCTGGTGCTGGCAAGGGCACAGGGCTGGTCCCAGGGAGCATGGGAACAGGAGAGCTCTGCTGGCCGCAGTGGCAACTGTCTCTGGGCCCCATGCACATTGGGATGGGGCCTGATGTGCATGGGGCTGGGAGAGAGCTGCCCCTGCAGTGGGCAGAGCTCTCCTGGCCCTGTGCCATTGGGGGGACACAGCTGCCAGCTAGCCCCTTCCCAGGCAGCGCTTCCCTGTGAAGCAAGGGGTTGCTAGGAACTCTCCCAGATGTGGCACAGCTGCTGGTGAGCCTCCTGCCCACTGGAGGGGAATGAAGCTTGCCGTCAGCTGCCCTGCTTCAACACAGCGGCATGTTTCTCCGGGAGGCGGGCAGAGGCTAGGAATCCAGCCCTCGTCCATCCCCTGGAGCAGCTCAACACGGTGCAGACCTGCTCCAAGGGACAGGCAATGGATGGATCCCCAGCTCCGGTCTGCTCCCTGGAGCAGCCAGTTCTGTACTGCCCACAGGTGCTCCAGTGTACAGGCGGAGGCTGAGTTTCCAGCCGCTGCTTATTCTCCAAAGCTGCCAGGTATGTCTCAGGAGCCAGGAGAGGACACTGAGAGATTCCCAGTCCCAGTACTGATTGGCTCCCAGCTTGTAGGAGGAGCTGGAGAGCTGAGCAGCACCAGGACTGGGGACAGAGGGCTCCCTGCTGCGTAGACTGACCAGGAGCAAATTTGCTCCCAGTCAGCGTTTGCACAAGTGTTACTATGCAGTATCTACTGCACAATTAGTTTACTACAGGTTGTCAACTAGTTGTAAAGAGGTAGTAAACTACTGCACAATTAGTTTACTGCAGGTAGAAAATTTACAGGTAGTAAACTAACTGCACAGTAGATTACTTTTCTGTGCAGTAAATGTGTGCACGTGTAGCTGGTGATGCTTTACTATGTAGTAAATTAGTCTACTGAATAGTAAAGCATCTCATGTAGACACACCCGGGGAGTCCTACTGCTACTTCCTTTTGCTGCTGGGTTTGAAAGACTAGCAGTGATAGAGGTGTATCTGGCTCTGTCAACAGTTACCAGGTAAATGGAGGGATCCATACCTGTTGAAGGCCTCTGGGATTAGCTAGACACAGGTTGCTCTAGCCTTTCAAGACTCAGGTAGTTCTGGGCATAGGCACAGGTATAACTCTTGATTTTGACAGACAAAAGCAATTCGTGTCGGCAACTTACCGGCAGTCACCTCTGATGCTTGATACACAGCAAGCTTCTCTTTCTACAAAGTTCAGCGAAGTCAGGTATAACATATAGCTTAATATCTGACGAAATACAAAAAAAACCCACTTAGTCTAATCTTCATACAGACTTCAGCAAGCACCTTTATCACACAGACATAATTTCAGCTGTCACACCCTAAGAGGCAGGAGTCAATCTCCTAGCATGATGTGTGACTTGGGTGCCAGTCAGTTCAGAATCCTTGGCCCTAGGAAGCCTTGCTGGAGCAAAGTGTTTGATAGCTACTACTCTCTACTGTGTACAGCAAAGGTCTGCAGAGAAGTTGCTTTTTCTTTCTTGTTTTTAAATACTGATTTTTGTCGAGGAGCAAACAAATGTTAACAGGCTGTGAAGACAACACAGCAAAGCGCAGAAGAGAAATAAAATGCAGACAAATCTAGTTTGCAGCTGAACAGACAAACAAGGCATGCAGCTAACAAGAAACGTTCTGGAGTTCAGCAGACAGACATGGAAGGAGGACATGGGCACTCATTAAAAGATCAAACCTTATGCAGTATGCTGCGGTGGATAGGATCATGGCCAGAGAAGTCAGGAAACCCCAATCCACCATAGGTGTAGTAAAACAAAATAGTAGCGGTGTTTTTCTTTCCCCAGCCCTGCAGCCCTTTGTCTAAGGCTGAAAATTAGAGCTGGGTAAAAACGTTTTGGTGATTATTTTTTGTTAATTAAAAAATGTAGAAAATAAAAGCTTTCATTTTAAACTTGTAAAAGCAGAAAGCACACTGTTGGATGATTTTTTTTGCGTCTTTGGAAAGCTTTCCAGAGTACAAAGACTCTGGAGTGAAAGGGGCACACTGTTGGATGATTTTTTTTGCGTCTTTGGAAAGCTTTCCAGAGTACAAAGACTCTGAAGTGAGAGGGAGCGAAGAAGCGTGTTGCGTATTTATGTGCACGTTCTTCCAGGCAAGGAGATAAGGCAAAGTATCGCGTCACCGCTGCATCTCAGCTGTCGCAATGGTGAAACGAGGATAGTTTGAAAACTGGCAAATATGATCGCTTCATGTGCCAGAACATGCAGCGCTGCCTCTTTTTTTTTAAAACCCTCCTAACAAAAGGTTTTGTTCTTGAGGACACATGTATTAGAAAAACGTTTTTCAAATAATTCATATAATGCTGTTGTTTGTAAAAACACAACCCGTGAGGAACAGACCAGTAAGGTCAGAGCCTAGGGCATTAGTATCGATACAAAGGGAACTGTGTGATTTAAATATTGACTCCTCATTAGTGTCATGCTCTTGGACTAGTTGTCCTGTGGGTAGCGTGCACCTGTTGATCCTCTGGATCACAGTGTATGCCTGAGGGATCACCAGGACCAGCACAACTGAAAAGGTCAGGTTGGCTCTCTGTGTTACACTGTACAAGTGAACGCATGCCTCGTTGCGGCATGGTTTACATAATGACAGACCCTTTGCTCTTAGACTATGCAGGCATCGTTTTATCTCAGCCTGTTCTAAATGCAGTGACAGTTAAAATCCTAAGCCCGATCACCAGAATATGGGAGGATCATGAAAAACACTTTTCTGCTCTGAATATCCCAAGAGAGTAGGGTCGTGCGAAATTTTGGCAGCCGTTTTGCTTTGGAGGTGTTTTGGCCCATTTTGACGCCCAAAACACCGAATCTGAAAAGACATGGAAGGTTCCGAAACAGAACCACACTATCCAAAACGTTTTGGATGTTTTGGAGCGGGGCTCATAGGGAAACAGAAACTAAGAAGAGGGAGGGGGAAGAGGTGGAAGGAGGGCTCTGATATTGGCATCTGTAGCTGACCAGTGTCATCCTACATGCAAATCCAGGGGCCTGCTTCCCCCGGGAGGAGTCTGGCATAGCCCTGCAGCTCTCCTGGGGGGCGCAAGCCTCTGTATCTGCGTGGGTGATGACAGGCT